TGTCTATCTATGTGTAGTATCGTCGGATGTCTACCATTACAAGTTTCACATTTCATCCTATTTCTGCACTCTTTGGACCTATGGCCATACTTAAGGCAACCAAAGCACAATTTCCAGTCCTTCAGCAGCTCAATTTTCCTTTCACTCGTTGAAGAACAGAACCGGTCGCATTTGACAGACTGATGCTTCCCTTTACATAATGCGCATGTAGGCATTTCTATCATCGCAAAGGACTTTTTTGATGATCTATTCGGTTGGGAATTACTGGTCGGAGTAGAAGAGCAATCAAATATGGGAATATTTGCTTCTTTGGATCTTTGTTCTATAAACTTGCAGAAAACTTCGAAGCTTGGGAATCCATCCTCTTCAAGATGTTCTTGCACGATTCGCCTCCATTTGTTTTCAATGTATGTTGGCAATTTGCTGATTATTTTGTAATTTTCTTGTTTATAGTCTAAAAGACCTAGATCTGGAATCCTCTTCTTAGCAGCACATACCTCATTAAGAAAATCCGAGAAATTCCTCAGTCTACTTGCATCTTTTGCCCCAATCTTTGGCCAATCATACAGCTTTGTGAGGAATGCTCTGCTTATCTCAGAGTTGTTACCATATCTGGATTTGAGCTCCTTACGGGCTAGTTGATATGCACCTTCGTCTTGAAGCAACATATAACTGCTCACCATGTCATAAGGCTCGCCAACCAAATACTGGCTCAGTAGATTCAACTTCTCTCCTGCTAAGAGTACCTTATCAGCAATCAGACTGTTGAATGATGTCTCCCACATGGGATACTTCAGAGGGTCTCCATTGAAACTTGCAACTCTTAATGGTGGTAACTTGAACGAGTCGACCAATTGCTTAATCAGCATTGGGTTGGTCTCACTTGAATTATTTGGAGACACATTTTGATTAACTGCTGGAGGCAAAGTATTTAAAAACCTTCTAACACCTTCATCCGGTTCTTCAGCAGGGACATCTTTAAGATCATCATCCTCGATCAAAAGTTCATCTTCGCTGGTCTCATCGACCACCTCCAATAATGCCTTTGTAATGGCTACCTCCTTCTGGATTTCCAATTGCTCCATTCGAAGCTGTAATTCTTTTTCTTTAAATTCCAATTCCACTTTCTGTACAGCAAGCTGTTCCTCAAGTTTATCCTTTTTACTTTTAGTTGAGGCGATAATAGAACCTTTCCTCGAGAGACTCCTGACTGACATACGGTTACCAGCCTTACGTTTAACTATTTGAGTTTCTTCTTCCTTTATAATGAGGTCTGGTAAACTGGTGGAAGGTCTTTGGTACTGCTGTCCAGATCGAGTAGCCATATTAGCT